TACAACATTGTTTTAAAGTGCTTTGTATCCTCTGTAGATCATCATGAAAATCTAATTGCTTTACCCCTGAGGGACTTAAATAACTCGTGACAGTTTGAAGATGGCCAAAACTAATATATTCATTATTATAGTCAGAGTCCCTATTAAACTCTATTAAACCATCCCACTCTTTAATTTTTCGTGTAAGCCTTTCTTAGTCAGGAAAATATTCTAGAAAACTGGGTAATGATGTCTGCCTTCAGATGATTTGTCGAATAAAACTCATTTCACAATCAGCTGAAATCTTCCTGGACACTATAGTGTTAAATCAAGGACTGATCCATTTCCTGGATCAACATCTGTTCTTGATTCTCTTAAACCGTATTTTCCGTATATCTATTAGAGAATCTACAGAGAAAATACGGATCTACGTATGCTCCTGGTTTGTGAAACAGAGACACCATCTGAACTCTAATAGGAAACAATTTCAAACAAATTTTCTCTTTACAATCTCTTGGTTCCACGTGGAGCTATATTTGTCCCCTGCAAAGCCAAAATTACCAGAAATATTTAGAAAAATTTGCTTGTCATAAGAGAGAAAAATGGTTCAAAATGTTATCCATTCATTAGGGTTGTAAAATAAATAATTAATTATCAAACTCAATGTTTACCAGCAGACTGACTAAAGACATTTCTCCCTCTTCCTCCTCTATCAGACATTCTCTGCTCCTGCAGCAGATTCCTCCATACCTGAGAGCTTCCAGTCTCCAGTGTGGATCCTTCAGTCCAGCCGATAGCAGCTTCACTCCTGAGTCTCCTGGATGATTGTAGCTCAGGTCCAACTCTTTCAGATGGGAGGGGTTGGAGGTCAGAGCTGAGGCCAGAGAAGCACAGCCTTCCTCTGAGACCAAACAGCCTGATAAGCTGCAGACACACAATTCATCACATGATGAGAAAATGAGAACATTGAGGTAGAAACCAAGGTCTGAACTGGTCAAGACAGAAAACATTCAAGAAACTGGTGTCTAAACTGTGAATATGAAATAGTAATAACACATTCTGTACATCAAAACAAACATTTGTCACTTTTAAAATGGATGAGAAAGTCTAATGACTGCTCGAAGAAAGGATTTGCAATAACACTCCTTTGTGCACCTAGGATGCTACATTTTGTCAAGTCAGACATCCTCAGTCTGTGAAAGTGTGACCCTGACATTACTAAATATTTTTTCGTCTTTCAGCCTGCAATAAATAAAAAACAAAATTTTGTGTTGAGATTTGGCATGGTTAGCAACATCAGAGTCAGACATCTGCTATTATAACAATTTATTATTAAAATGACATTACCATCAAATATGAATTCAGGTAATGAACAGAAATCTGGTTTCAGCAGGATTGAGAACATTTTACCTGAGAGTTTCCAGGTTGCAGTTTGGACTCTTCAGTCCAGCAGAGAGAAGCTTCAATCCTGAATCCTGCAGGTTGTTGTTACTCAGGTCCAGTTCTCTGAGACTGGAGGACTGGGAGCTGAGAACTGAGGACAGAGCTTCACAGCTTCTCTCTGAGAGGTTACAGACACTCAGTCTGAGGAGACATTGAGAAAAATCTGTTATTCAACAGTTGATCAAAATTATTTTCTCTGTCAAATTAACAATGTTCTACTTGGATAGAAAATTGTCCAAGCAGAACATTTTCTTTTTTACGTATTTTATTGCTCTTCGATGGGATCTGGTTCATTTTATAGTTGGTTCTCCAATCTTGAAAAAAAAAATAGTTAAATTCTACTATTAATTAAATCATTTCATTTTAGTTCTATCAAAAGAGTTTTGCTGCTTCAACCACTGAAGGAAGTCAGCCTTACTTCTACTTGTATAATGCTATTGAGTGATATCCGTGAGAAAAACTGAAAACTGAACAAACTGAACACAAGAATAATGTGTACCTCATCATTAACAGATCTTTACGAAAAAAAGAACAGTAACAATGTGTGTCCTTACAGAGCTTTGTTGGAGGCTTTAACCACTGGCAGCAGCCTCAGAAGAGCTCCTCTGAGGCAGAGTATTTCTTCAGGTCAAACACATCCAGATCGTTTCCTGATGACACTAAGATGAAACCCAGAGCTGACCACTGAGCAGGAGACACTTTATCTGTGGAGAGACTTCCTGAACTCAGAGACTGTTGGATCTCCTCCACTAGAGAACGATCATTCAGTTCATTCAGACAGTGGAACAGATTGATGCTTTTCTCTGCAGACACATTCTCACTGATCTTCTCCTTGATGTACTGAACTGTTTCTACATTAGTCTGTGAGCTACTTCCTGATCGTTTCAGCAGAGCTTGTAGGAGTCTCTGATTGGTCTGCAGTGAAAGTCCCAGGAGGAAACGGAGGAACAAGTCCAGGTGTCCATTTGGACTCTGTAAGGCCTGGTCAACAGCTCTCTGATGGAGAGCATTTATATTTGGTTTGGAAAAAATTTTGAAGAGAAATGAAGGTGGATTTTCTTGCAACAAATTTACATCAGAGTTGATGAAGGTCAGATGAACATGAAGAGCAGCCAGAAACTCCTGAACACTCAGATGGACGAAGCAGAACACCTTGTCCTGGTACAGACCTCTCTCCTCTTTAAAGATCTGTGTGAACACTCCTGAGTACACTGAGGCTGCTCTGATATCGATGCCACACTCTGTCAGATCTGATTCATAGAAGATCAGGTTTCCTTTCTGCAGCTGATCAAAAGCCAGTTTTCCCAGAGACTCAATCATCTTCCTGCTCTCTGGACTCCAGTGTGGATCTGTTTCAGCTCCTCCATCATACTTGACCTTCTTCACTTTGGTCTGAACCACCAGGAAGTGGATGTACATCTCAGTCAGGGTTCTGGGCAGCTCTCCTTCCTCTCTGGTCTCCAACACATCCTCCAGAACTGTAGCAGTGATCCAGCAGAAGACTGGGATGTGGCACATGATGTGGAGGCTTCGTGATGTCTTCATGTGGGAGATGATCCTGCTGGCCTGTTTCTCATCTCTGAATCTCTTCCTGAAGTACTCCTCCTTCTGAGGGTCATTGAACCCTCTGACCTCTGTCACCATGCCACACACTGAGGAGGGATCTGATTGGCTGCTGCAGGTCGTGTGGTTATCCAGAGGAGAGCAGAGGGAAGCAGTTTCCCCCTGATGAGGTTTGTCAGCAGAACATCCACTGAGGTGGACTCTGTAGCATCAGTCAGGATCTCCTTGTTGTGGAAGTCCAGTGGAAGTCGACTCTCATCCAAGCCATCAAAGATGAACAGAACCTGGAAGTGTTCAAAGCTGCAGATTTCTTTGGTTTCAGTAAAGAAGTGATGAACAAGTTCCACCAAGCTGAACTTTTCTCTTTCAGCACATTCAGCTCTCTGAAGGTGAATGGAAATATGAACTGGATGTTCTGGTGGGCTTTGTCTTCAGCCCAGTCCAGAGTGAACTTCTGTGTTAGGACTGTTTTCCCAATGCCAGCCACTCCCTTTGTCATCACTGTTCTGATTGGTTGATCTCTTCCAGGTGGGACTTTAAAGATGTCTTCTTGTCTGATTGTTGTTTCTGGTCTGTGTGGTTTCCTGGATGCTGTTTCAATCTGTCTGACCTCATGTTCATCATTGACCTCTCCAGTCCCTCCTCTGTGATGTAGAGCTCTGTGTAGATCTGGTTCAGAAGGATTGGACTTCCTGCTTTAGCAATTCCCTCAAACACAGACTGGAACTTATTCTTCAGACCAGATTTAAGTTGATGTTGACCAACCTCAGTAACTTGTTCTAACAGAAAAAGTAAAATCAGGATGGAAACAGCATCATCTTCTGAAGATGACTTCAATATATCTAATTCCATTTCTGTAGATATCAGTAAAAATGAGTTTTATCATTTGGTCAAATCTTTGTGGAAATCCTCTTACTGCTCTGCAGACGGTCAGCCAGCTCCTCCTGCTTCATCATCCTCAAGAAGTTCAGTGTGATCTTCATCACTGCCTCTTTGCTACCCCTCCTCTGCTCTTCATCCTCACCATCTGAAACCCCATCATCCTCCGTCTGACTCTTGAGCATTCTTGGTCATCCGGACCCAGAACCTTCTGAATCTTCTTCAGTTCTTTCTTAAAAAGTAACAATGTTGTCCTCCAGCAGCTGGAACAGAATAATAGATGAAGGAAACATCAGACATATAATATGTAGCCATACACCAGATGGATGTTTGACAGACTGACAGTCCTCTTTTCACAAAGCACAGCATGGAGATGACTGTGAACAGAAACAATGGAAAAGTTGTTCATGTACAGACCATAAATATGGAGAGGAGCTTTCTTTGATGATGCTGGGGAAATGGATCACTGGGAACCTCTGAGGTATGCTGATCCACTCTGTGGAACAATTAGGAAATCAGGAAATATTCATCCAATAGGTTCATAGATAAAGTAACTAAGATTTTGACATTAAATGACCTTAACGCAGAACAAAGGTTAATCATCTGAACACAGTATGATGAATTTAGAAAGAGAAAGATGATCTACAATGATGAAGCTCAGTAACACCCAGTAAAAATTTACAAAGTTGTGCTCAACTTGGACTCAAACAGTCCAAAATGTCAGCAGATCTGATGCTGGTGGAGACAGTTTCCCAGAGCTTGGGGACATTGTAAGTGAAGGCTCTGTCCACACAAGTCTTCAGGACAGTGTGGGACATCCATCAGGTTCTGATGATTAGATCTGAGGTGATGTGGACATGGAGGAGGTCTGAAATATGTGGGTGTGTCCATGTGGGATCCTCTCCTGGATGTTATAGTGAGGATTTTAAATTGGATCCTGTAGATCCCTGGAATCCAGTGAGCTCACATTGTATCTGTCCACATAGAGACAATCAGAAGGTCCATGAAGTGATATCTGGATTGATTGATTGATTGATTGATTGATTGATTGATTGATTGATTGATTGATTGATTGATTGATAACTGAGTTCTTACTGTTTCACTTTTCACAATTACAGCAGTTAGAAACATCTCACCTCTCTGATGATGGAGGTCCAGGAGACTTAAAGAGAATAGGAGGATCCTTTGACCTGTCGCTCTTAAAGGACACACAGCTGGGTTCTGGTTCTGGTTTGAGTCTCTGATGGATCCTGACAGAAACATGAAGATTAAAACTTAATCAGCAAAGAGGAGCAGCAGCAGCTTCATCACCACGTCTGTTCTGGCCTGATATAGTGAACGCTGTGTGAAAAGGGCTGTGGACAGTTAGAGATGGTGACCTCACCTCTGACCTTTGCTCTGGCTCTCATCTTCCCCACACAGAGTGGTTTTAGAGGGAGGGACTCCCTCCTCTCTGTCCTCACACTGATCCATGCTGCTGAATCCACATCAGCTCACACACACTTTCTAGCTTCACCTGCAGAGGAAACACACATCATTCATCTGCACATCAACTCTGATCATCCTTACATCATTAGTGCTGGAAAAAGATCAGCTGCTCCTCCTCTGATTGGCTCTTCTTCTCTGCTTCATATCAGTGTCAGGTGAATGCAGTCAGACAGCAGAGAGGCAGAGGAAGCTGCCATCAGCTGCTGCACTTCTACTATTAGTCCACTAGATGGAGACATGGAACAACACTTACATTCACTGATTCAACATGAACAGGAAGGATTTTAGTTAGTCAATTATTAATCACTACAAATAAAAAAATTTGTAATCATTTATAGTGATTTGATTATATACATCAAAGATTATATAGATAGATATTTTACTTTGTCTGACCTTGATGGTGGAGAATAGTTTGGTTATAGGTAAGAAAAACATGAAGCACTTTGTAAAGAGCGGAAATCGATGAAACATCATCCTTTCATCATGTTGTTGATTCCAGTTCATCAGTAATAATACTGATCTTCAAACAGCAGAAAGATGAAACATTGAGCAAAAATAAGCAGTGAACCTGCTCTCCAAATATTAGAGAGCAGAAAAACATACAGGAAATTCCTGAAGACAAAGTTCAAGTAGGAAACAAAGCAAACTTACAGTTTATTCAAACGATCCAAAAAGTTGAAGAACATTTGAAAAACAAATAAAGATCCAACAACATGATCGGAGCCACACCTTAACAGTGTAATTAAAACTGAAAGCAAATGTGATAGAGGTTGCTTAACTGATTGTGTCAAAACTCTTCTGGTTTGTAGTTTCTTCTTTTGCAGCAGGAGAACCAGGAAGTGGAAGGTCTACAGTAAAATCAGAGGCAGGTTTATAAATTATTAATGAAAGAGAGACGTTCTGATAAAAATGAGGATGTACTTACTTTTGATCATAACTAGTGATGATTGTAAAAACATTTTTTGCAATATTTCAGGTTATTTAGCATGTCAGAAAATCTTTTAAAATGGATATAAACTGGATATTTGCATAACTTTTGAAACAAATATCTAACTTCAAAGTAAATATTTATTTGGCAAACTACAATGTTGTTCTCCAAAATAACATTTGATTTTTAAATTAAATATTTTCAAAGCTAAATTTGTGTATTTTAATTTCTAGTTGTTCAGTGAGAGACTTTATTATGTTAACATGTTTTAATTTTTCCCTCCATTCAGTAACAGTTTGTGAAGATGGTTAATCAAATTCAATTTTCTCCCAGGTCTTTATTTGTGGTCAATCCCAGAAGACATGTGTGATGACAGACCATGCCAAATTCCTCCAATATCTATCTGTGGTTGGAATCCTGGAAATGAATTTTTAATAGAGTCCTGTTTAAAGGTTTGTCTAACCAAATTAGTTCCACCAGTTTTGTTGATTCATTATTGTGCAAGCTTGAACGTTTCATTGCAGCTTGTTTTGTTCCTGTTGCATGAGGAACAAAACATGAGTTGTTTTTATTTAGTGGCAGAGCTACAGTCATCATCAAAGTTTTCCCAAGCATGGAATCCTGTCATGTCTCTGGTTAAGCTTCTGACCCACATGCAGATATTGGGAACGGGGGCTTCTGGAAGAAATAATAAATTAATGGAGCAGAACGCACCCAAGGACATGCTCTTAGATAAGGTTATCCTAATCTAATATCAGACTATTGACGGGAGACTGAGCTACATGGTTCATGGCCATAAAATGCAATACACAGACACAGCAAACAGATAGACTCCATCATGCCACCACCTTTCGCTCATATCTGAATTGTCTGAATTTTACTATGTGCATACTTCCCTAATATGTATATTCCTCTTTTTACCTTATTACTTTTTAAAAATGTGTTAAGTACTCACTATTAAACCAGAAAAGGAATTAGAACAAACTTAACATCCAGAAAAAACTACTTCCACAACAGGAACATTTAGTTTTTATTATTATGTTTAGAAACTGTGGAGTAATCATTACTTTACAAATTCAAAATAAAATTATAAACTCCAGAGGATACATACTTATCTAGCAACCCAGAAAAACTAGTTTATAAATTACAGACAGCTCATTCTTAAACATGGGGAACTAATAATACTCTTGTATGTCTTTTCTTTGGTTTATTTTGTTTGCATTTCCATCTAATTCATGGAAAGCACTTTAAATTACTGTTGCTGAAAATGTGCTATATCATTAAATTTATCTTACCTTACCATGTGTATAAAAGAAGCTTCAGGCTCCTATGATTTGTTCATCTGACAAACATAATTTAAAGAAATGTTGCTCTTTATCACAAATCAAACTGGTAAAACATCTTTTTTGAAGCACAATCCTTCTGTTTTATTTATAACTTTATATTATTGGCAAACTGATCTAAGAACCCTTCAGATAAAGGGGAAATCTGGTGTATGGAGGAATAAATGTACCTCAGTCAAGATATGACTAATCACCATTCATATCATAGTTATAACCATAGCCAGATCAGCTAATGAAATTAGCATCTTGTATTCCCCATATGTAATGATCATAATTTTTAGATATATGTAGAAAGTGATATATTTATGTTCAGTTATTTGCTGTGACAAAGTATTAGGGCCACACTAAAAAAAATATAAAAATAAAATTACAAAAATGGGTGTTGCCATGTGTGTGACATAATCTTGGTGAGCCAGATTAAAATAAGAAATAAGAGATAAAATAAGCCTTCTGAGAGAACCTACCTGAAAACTGAACCTAGATGTTAGAAGAAAGTCAACATGGATACTGGATAAGATCATTGGGGAAGCCAGAGCTAATCAAAATGTGTCAAAATCTAAAGTGCAGTGAGGCTGGCAGATGAAGGATAATAAGGATGGTGGGAACCACAACTGGTTAACTCCGGGATGGTGAAAAGCCCCAAGTTTTCCAGCAGTTTTTAAATAACTGTCAGGTTAAAATACCTAAACACCTTCACACAGACATAGACAAAGGAAAAAAGAGGAAAATGAATTAAAATTTGTTACTCAAGGAGAGAAAGAACAGGGAGCGATTGGTTCACACTCCAAACTTGCTCTGAGTTTCCCCTTTCTTTTCCTTTTATTGAAATTCAAGCCCTGGTTACATAGTTTAGCAGCTACTAATTAAGGGAGGAGCAAACAACAAACCCTGCTGCTAACACATTTATATATCTTTTCTATACAATGTAGTTTCCTATCTTTCTGCATGCGAGGTCTTAAGTGCAGTTCCATATATCTGGGTCACAAACTTCGACCGTTTAATCTTTGAGTGAGGCCAGCCACAGCCCTCCAGAATGGATGGCCTCTCCGTCCACTTTGGCATGCTTATTCTCCTCCTGTAGACATCACTAAAAGCCACACATTCTAGAAGCAAACAGTCAAACAGTCTATAAGGATAATGAGTATATATGAAATAAAAGATATTTAGAAATCTAACAATAACACTAGACTGTTGTCCAGTAAATGAAAAGACATGAAATTGTGGAATTTGGGTCTCAAAGACAGAAATTCCTGCCTTAGAAAAACTCAAGCAAGAAAGAAGAACTTCACCGGATGCAAGCAGAAAAACAATGTCTCCTTGAAGAGAAAATTGGTGCTTTGGGTGTAAAGGTGAACAGAATGATAGTCATCTTTGATAGGAAAGCAAATCCACCTGGAACCCTCAGAATACCTTAAGTCACATTAAGAAAGACTTTAAAATATTGAACCAGACGGGAGAAACAGGACAGACAGACAAGCTTTCTGTCACCACTCTCAGTAACCAGATGGAGTCAGACAGAAAGAACAGATATTCTGAGGAAGAAATGACTGAAGCCGTCATTAACGCCGTCAGCCCTGACCTTCATCTCAGAGATCTGCTGGAAGTGAAGTTGGACCTCACACTCCCCACTCTTACAGTTATATTCAACTATAAAATTGACTCATCATCTGACCTGCTGCATGAACAGGAGGTCAGATGAACATCTCCCAAGACCCAAGAGCGTCTGCTCAAGCCTTCCTGTTGAGAGAACTAGAGTTGAGAGAAACACTGCTCTACATGTCTGGGGAAAAACATGAGGCAGAGCAGTTCAGGCCAAATCTGATCCAACTTAAGTTCCTGCAGTCACTGGAAACAAGTTTGTTGAGTGAAGCCCTGATGTTCCAGTTAAACCCAAAATTGAACCGCCAAAATATCATAGATGAGGTTTTAACTGAAAAGATACATTACGCTACCAGTCTTGAAATTTAGCAACAAAACAAACTGTCAATCAAACCATTGAGATTAAATGGAAAACAAGCAGAAGTTCAGAATATTCACTTTCACTCACAACACAGAGACAATGAGAGGGGAGACAGATTAAAAGAGGTGAAAATGTATCAAGAGGAAACAAGTGCAAAGTCAATGGCCAGATTCAGAGACTGAAGTTGATTGAAGGCCTTAAAGCAGATCTGATGGAGATAAAAGAAATTACATGGAACAGCAACATCAAAGCTCACACCTGTCAGAACGAAAGGACGCCAAGAACGCAGAGAAGCTGGGATGGGTGGTATCTATCTGCACTGGTTCACCTCTGGACAAGAAGCCATATTTCTCATGGCTGCAAGCAGAGAAATTTACAGGGAAACAGGAAGGGGCTTATGAGGAGGGACCAGCAGTAATCGGTTACCCCCAGGTCCCACTGTGACATTTTATTTATGTAGACCAACACTTAATGCTCTTGTGAGCCACCAGGTAATCCCCAAAACACAATGAATTCCCTTCAGTCTGAGAG